ATGGTAAAAACTAAAAACTAAAAAGCTCAAAATCCTATTGTACACAATTAGCTATACCTGATAACAGAGGGCAGAAGACTACACAAAAAATAATCTTGACTTATCGCATAGTAATAAATTATTAATATCAAAAATGTATTTCTGTTTTTTCTTTTTACATATTTTGTTAAAAGGCCAAATAAGGACTTCAAACCAAAAAAAAGTAATTTTCTGTTTTGTTTTATTCTTGGATCGGGCTTTAAAGGGTTAATGATAGCTCAAAAAGCAACCCCAAGCCCATTTTGGGAATGCAAAGTAACTTGTACTTTATTTAACATTAAATTTCAGTCACAATAAACTTTTTTGGGTCAAATTATTGGGTACAAACAACAAAAATGACTTAGGTTTGTTCTTGCATGTTTATCCAACAGACCCTGAGGCATGCATGTCATTCATGATCTCTGGAGGACGGGTTGTTCTGCAGTGTCTCAGCGCCAGAGGCAGCTAAAGAACTTATATACTTTACTGATGTAAAAGTACTAATACCTGAGTGAAAAAAGACTCTGGTAAAAATAGAATGATTTTTTTTCTCCTTTACTTAAAAAGCACAAAAGAAAAAAAAAATACACGTTACCAAAGTAAAATGAAGTTACTTTTTAGAACTCTATTCTTTAAAAAAAATCTTATTTGCAAACAAAATAGGTTAATTTTCCTCTTTTTCTCATGGTGTTAATAGAGAGGGCATACAAATACTGACTGAGTCTGTTTTTTTTTTTTTTTCTAAATTAACCTTTCAGACAGAATAATAATAGAGATTGAGTTTTATAGAAATCCTACGTTCAATTATTTTAGAGCTCTGCTGTCCAGAGCATATAAGTCATAAAACAGCATTAGTAATGAAACTGGAAACATGATCCACATGTGAATCTAACATCTAGTAAAGGGGGAACAAGACAAACTGGGAAAGTTTAGAAAGTAAAGACATCTGTGTTCAAATTTAGAGAGTAAAAGTAAAAAGTTGCCATGATGTCAACTTTTATATGCAAATAACATGCATATACCAGGGAAAAAAAGCTACTTAAGTAAAGTAACTAAGTATTTATACTTAGCTACTTGACATCTCTGCTTAGTGGCTGCGTTTCTGTACTTGACCACTTCGGTGGCTTCCTTCCAGGAAACTGGCTGTTAATACTGAATCCATGACTTGGTGCGAGCTGGATCTACAACGTGGAAAACTGCATTTTTCTGTTCAGTACAGAGGCCCTCTTGTAGAGACTCAGCTTTCAATCAGCTAATCCACGCCACCCATGATGATTTTTTTTATTGTTAAACACTGTCTTTCTTAGACAACCTTTTGTGTTTACAGGACAGTGGGTTTAAGTCAAACCTTTAAAATAACTCTATTTTCCGGAGCACACTGACCCTGAGGAGGTAAACTTGCAGTGAATGCAGATTGTTTCATGCAACATATTTAGGTAAACAAATAATGAAGAAAGACAAAGTAATGGCCCAAATCTTAAGAATAAGGAGTTATAAAACAGCTCCTGAGGCTATGCAGAGTGATGATGATGTGCAAGAACCCAATGCAGAAGCACAACTAGAATTTAATGCATCATGCAAAAACTCATACTTTCTTTTAGGGTTTTTTTTTTTTTTTTGTCTTCATCAGCTCAGCACTGGTTTTAAACTTTATACTTCCCCAAAATAATTTGTTGCAAGTACATGCATTCAAAAATCCCTGAAAACAAACCAGGCCAACAGGTATGAATCTTCTTCCTTCCAATTAAATCCCTTATCTTCTGAGGAAAACTCCCTTTTTGGCATTTGAAAATTTTTTAACAAATCTCCATCAGGTAGGATGTGAAATTATTCTTTTTTAATGTATTTTTAATTTTTTAATGAACATAAATCTACTCAGATGAGACTGGGAACATAGCTACATACAGTTGCATCCAAAACTATTCATACCCCTGGCAGGTTTATGTTTAGAATCAGAAGATTGTTAATCAGTTATAATAGCTTTATAAATACACTGGAAAAACAATCTAGAATTAAGAAACTTTCTTAAATTTAGTGTATTCACCCTTAATTTGAGTAGGTAAATGAGCTAGTTTGCCAATGGAATGAGTATTTTTACTCTTAAAATAACATAATTAGATAATATATACCGGTACTTAAATTAAGACAAATCAATAGTCTTCTTTTTTTTAAGTGTAAATCGTCTTGTTTCATTGGCAAATTGTCTCTTTTACCTCCTCAATCCAAGAATAAATGAACATATTTTAACCCTGTAATGCCAAATGTATCATATTTGATACATACGGTTTCTGAAATGTTTTG